GGTCGCGAAGATCTGCGAGGGCATCTACAAGGCCGGCGAGGTGACCTACAGCGACGAGGCTGAGGCGCAGCTCGCGGCCTACGAGCGCCAGGGCCTCGGCGGGCTGCCCGTGTGCATCGCGAAGACGCAGTACTCGCTGTCGACGGACGCGAAGCTCAAGGGCGTGCCCGAGGGCCACACGGTCAACGTCCGCGAGGTCCGCGCGGCCGCGGGCGCGGGCTTCCTCTACATGCTCTGCGGCGACATCATGACCGTGCCGGGCCTGCCCACGCGGCCGGGCTTCGTCGACATCGACTACGACCACGAGAAGGACCGCGTCCTCGGGCTCTTCTAGGGCGGCGCGGGACCAGGCGCGCGCGAGCGCGCCGCGTTAAGACTGTCGACGGAGCTTAGACTGATTGGCCTAGAGATAGGCACCGATGACACCGCGGGTGACGTCCTGGACGTCGGCTCGGCTCCGCAGTTCCTCCGGGACGCAGGCGCGAAGCAGCGCGGCGACGACCAGCGCGGCCTTGCGCTTCGCGGCGATGCCCGCATCGGACACAAGCGACTCGTCGTCGACGGTCACGCTGCCGCCGCGCGCGAGCTGGACGAGCGCCTCGAGGCCGACGGCCGCCGCGACCGCGACCGCGTTGGCGTCGTTGTTGTCCACGAGGTTGAACAGCGTCTGCGCGGCCTGCTCTTTGGCGTCCGCGCCGCCGTCGCGCAGGAAAGCGACGAGCCGCGGGATGCCGCCGGCCTCGGCGATCAGGACCTGGTTGTCGTCGTTGCAAGCGAGGTTTTGCAGCGCCCACGCGGCCTGCCGCTTGCCCTCCACGTGCCCGTCGCGCAGGAGCTCGACGAGCGGCGCGATGCCGCCGGCCTCGGCGATCAGGACCTTGTTGTCGTCGTTGCCCGCGAGGTTGCGCAGCGCCGTCGCGGCCTCGGTTTTGGCGTCCGCGCTCCCGTCGCGCAGGAGCTCGACGAGCAGCGGGACGCCGCCGGCCTCGCCGATCAGGGTCTTGTTGGCGTCGTTGCAGTACGCGAGGTTGCGCAGCGCCACCGTGGCATCCTTTTTGGCCTCCGCGCTCCCGTCGCGCAGCAGCTTGACGAGCAGCGGGATGGCGCCGGCCTCGGCGATCAGGACGATGTTGGCGGCGGTTCCGCACGCGAGGTTACCCAGCGCCCGCGCGGCCAGCCGCTTGGTGTTCGCGCTCCCGTCGCGCAGGAGATCGACGAGCCGCGAGATGCCGCCCGCCTCCGCGATCAGGACCTTGTTGTCGTCGTGGCACGCGAGGTTGCACAGCGCCCGCGCCGCCGCCGTCTTCCTTGCGGCGTCGCCCTCGCGCAAGGCGCGGACCAGCCCCTCGATCTCCGCCATGCTTGACCCCTTGATAAAACGCCGATGTTTCACAGATGTTTCCCACTGCTTGCACCCCAACGAGTGATGTGGCTCCGATTCATGCTGTGCTGGCGTCTTGTC